TTAAGACTTAGTTTTTTACAAGGTATAATTTGTCCACAAAATACTTGAACCTTAAAATACCTTGTAAAAAAAACTAGGTCCTAAATTTATAGGTCCTTTTACTGTCATAAGAATCATCAATCCGGTCACTGTCAAATTGCAATTGCCAAAGGGGTTTTAACCGGACTTATCCAATGTTTCATTGTAGCTTATTAAAGCCTGTTCAAGGTTCATGAATGAGGCCGATCGAGAAACTATCTCCCCTCCCAATTCTGGGTAAGGGGAAAGGGCATTATGAGAGTGACAGTGAAGGGGATGATGGCCCAATGGCAAGTGGTCCTATTTCCTTGATGACTACCAGAGTCACAGTAAGACACACATACAAACACATCCTTCAAAATGGGCCTTTCTTTGCTAGAAGCAAATAACATAAAAAAAAATCGTGGTCACATTTTAAAACAGCCCTAAAACAGCTTTATGAATCATAAAGCACCCCGTTGAGGAACCATCATAATTTCAAAGAGCTGTTAAGCAAATGGTTGTAAGTTGAGGACTATCTTTTTCATTATGGCATCTTTTTCCTGATCTAGCCTACCTCAAACACTGACACAGTAGCACTTCAGTGGATTTTATACAGGTTGTCCTCAACTTACAACAGTTCATTTAGTGACTGTTCAAAGTTACAACGGTACTGGAAAAAAGCAACTTAGAACCGTTTTTCACAATTACGACCTTTGCAACATTCCCATGATCACGTGATCAAAGTTCAGATGCTTGGCAACTGCTTTCTATTTAGGACCGTTGCTTTGTCCCGGGATCATGTGATCACCTTTTAGGATCTTCTGACAAGCAAAGTCAGTGGGGAAACCAGGTTCACTTAACCACTGGATTACTAATTTATCAACTGCAGTAATTCACTTAATAACTGTGGCAAGAAATGGGGCAAAATTCACTTAACAAATGTCTCACTTAACAACCAAAATTTTGGGCTCCATTGTGGTCGTAAGTTGAGGACTGCCTGTACATCAAAGCCCTCTGATCAGTGGTGGGATTCAAATATGTGAACAACTGGTTGTCTGTGTGGATGCCGCTTCCGGAAGTCCAGTCTGGGCCTGGGCAACAAAAAATTAGTTACCGGTTCTGCCGAAGTGGTGCAAACCAGCTGAATCCCACCACTGCCTCTGATCACATGGTAAGAGAAGGACCAGTTTAAAAGTTTACAAGCAGAAGAGAAGTGCAAATTTGCCAAGCAGCATCCAGACATTCATGAGTTCTCTATGATCCTCTAACAAAACAGCAGATAAAATGTTCAGCTGGTCATCTCCAGCCAAAGAAATTAAATCATTGCTTCTCAAGTCTTGGCAACTTAGACTTCAACTCCCAGAATTCCCTAACCAATCCACACATCTTAAAGTGGCCAAAATTAAGAAATCCTGGCTTAGATGCTTATGGTCCCCTGTCCCTATGTCTTTAATCTAAGCCAGCATTTCCCAACCTTTTAGATTTATTGAGTCCTGGAACTTGAAGTCATGAAGTTGCCAAAACTGGGAAGAAAACAAATTCATACATTCAGGGTTCTAAATTATGATTCTTCTAGTGATAACAACTGCATGTTTTAAATCCCTCAGAATTAAACAAAAACAAGTCTAAGACCCACAAGATTTGGAGGCCCCCTGAATGATAGCTTTCCACGATCAGCAAATGCACCTTTCCCCCCATCTACCCTCTGATTTTTTATTTTATTTTTTAGCTTCAGAACTGATTGAACCACCATGGTTCAGATTCATAGCCCAATCTTTGTCTTCAAAATGCTCTAACCAATTAATGTTGAAAAAGGACAGCTACTACACGTTCCACTCTGGAAGGGTCATAAAGGTGGGTTACCATTAAACCCATTTCACCTGTGCAAACGCTTGCAAAGTGTCTCACACCTACCCCTGCCCACTGCAAGGGCATCAGCATTGCAGCACTGATCAATGAGCTGGTGACAATGTTCAACCATTGATTCCAACTGTGCTTTGTCGTAGGCGATGCCCAAGAACCTTGCTAGTTGTTCAACTAGGGTTGCAAGATCCTGTGGAAGAAGAGGATATTGACTAGCAAAGATGAGTCAAAAAGAAGACAGTTCAGAAAATACATTCTGGTTACCAGTAATTGCCCCCCCCCCAAAAAAATGTTGATAGTGGCTTAGGAATAGCAGCTTCTTATATATGTTAAATCATCCCTTATTTTAGGTGGAACTGTAGGGAAAAATGGAATAGGCCATTGAATCACCCCGAGTTCAATTCCCCAAAGAGCACTGTGGCTCGAATATGGCACTTGTTCCCAAGCTTTTAAAATAACTTGATCATTTTCTGAGTTCATTAGAGAAACTGCAGAATCAAGATCAAACCCACCATATTGTAATAATATGCAAAGGGGTGTTCTGAATAATTGGCAGCAGCAAGCGTTTGAAGACAGAGGTATGTACCAAACTTCCTGAAATGTCCTAATTATGAATTGTGCTATTTTAATCTCAGAAACGGTTATTATGCTGCTGGAGTTGCAGCATTGGAAGTTCTCATCCCAACTTTGTCAGATGTGATCTCAAAATGGAAGCTCCCAACAGCAAGACTGAGGCTAAGAAGACACCAGCCTGAAGATGATGAATGTGACTTCGTCGAAACGTCGCCAAGGTACTTTTAATTCTACGTGGGAGAAAACCCGAATAACTAAAGACCTACATACAAACACCCGCGAAAACCTCAGAAAACAAATATATATATATATATATATATATATATATATATATATATATATATATATATATATATATATATATATATATATATATATATATATATAT